GGTCCCGACCCGAAACGTCAGCTTTCCTGCTCCTCTGATGTGCCTGGTCTGCTGTGCTCCTCCAGCTCCACACTGTGTTACCTCTTAATATTTTTGTTTCTGCCTTTCTATTTAGGAATTAAAGTGCCTCATAGATTTTCCCCGTCTGCTTGGATACCTTTGCTATAAATGTTCCTCAAAGAACTGCTTAGATCAAAACTGAATTATTGTGCTCAGTTCTGGGTATGACAACTTAGGAAGTTGAATCAGTATTACATTCAGAGAACACCTGAACTCGGTGGGTAACATTACTGGGAGATGTTCCAGAAAACTATGGTTGGATTCTCTGGAATTTAAAACGTTAGACATTGTTTGAAGTGTTCAAGATGTTAAGCAGAGCTTGTATGGTAGATGGAGAGAAACAGTCTGGGGAGTCTAGGACTAAGGTGCAGAGCTTGGAAAATCCAGGCCAGACACTTCAGGAGTGAAATCAAGAAACATTTCTACACAAATGTGGTTGTAGATGTTTGCTACACCCTTTCCCAAACGGAAGTTGATAGCAGATCTATTGTTAATTTTAAAACTGAGATTGAAAGGTCTTATAACCAAATGCACGGGAGTCAATGTGAGTAAATGGAATTAAGTCATTGATCATGATTTCACTGAATAGCAGAACAGACTTTAAGGGCTAAATGGCCTACCCCTGATCTATATGGCAGAAACTGGTGGCTTTTGAATTTCAGGGTGCGGGCTGAACTGAGTTTGTTGGGTTAAAGTCCTCTTCTGTACTATATGATTCTATGATTCTAAGGCATCTGTTCTGCCATGGCCCATGTTGAGTTTTCTCTTGCAATCTTCTGCTAATCAGCTTATTAATTAAGAAGAAAGAAAGAAGGTTTACTGGAGTCCTCAAAACATTATCTCTTCTTTCTCTGTGCAGATGCTGCCAGACCTGATGAGTTTCTCCAGCAGTTTCTGTTTTTGATTTAGGTTCACATGTACTTTGGACTGACCAATAAAATGTTGCACAATGTTTAAGCCCAACTCGTTCATCCTGGAAGCAGGTTTCAGTTAGGTTTTGTATGGTCTTTTGTGATCAGTGGTTCATAACCTCTTACAGGTCCCTCCTGACCAATGTCCTGATCTTTATCACCTGTCGTTCCCTCAGGGATATCCTTCTTTTACCTCCAGCTGCAGTTGTGAAGTGTGCCAACATGCCAGAATGATGCAGCATACTCTCCCTTAGGTATAAGATGACCAGAGCTGCCCAAGCATCAAAACCTCATCTTGGTGCCTATGATCTATTCCAGTATGACCCTTATAGTAGCATAGACAGAGTTACATCAGGGTAAGTGTTTCATGTGAGTATCATGAGTCTGAGAATAGGGTGGAAGCAGATTCAAATGTGGCTTTCAAAAGGGAACTGGATGAACACATGAGGAGTAACGAATTGCAGAGCTATGGGAAAAGAGCAAGGGAGTGGCAGTAGCTAAGTTACTCCCCCAGTGAGTAAGCAAGGAGAGAACAGGCAGAACGACCCCATTCAGTGCTGTTATAACTCAATGTGTGGAACCTTATAAGGGTCTGAACAACATGGGCTATGATGGGTTTTCTGGCAGAATCAGGCAAGAACTCCAGTGAGACCTATCTCAACATCAGCATCAACTTACCACATCTTTTATGTATTTGCTGGCAGTTTCTTGCTAGGTAGTGGCAAGCTGACAATTCAGGAGAATTAGAGCTTGTTAAATGCCTGCATAAATGCAACATCCTGCCTTGCCTTGCCTTGCCAGTTAGCACAGTCAGACAACAAGACAGCCTTCCTTGCTACTCAGCAATCTTCATTCGAGTGGGTAGATATCTCACCCCATGATATGTTGCAATGTTAACCTCAAATTGACACTACATGGCAGCAGTTTACATGACCAGTACACTACATGTGCAGCAAAAGGCAGCTTTATCTCAAAGTCGTAAGGGAATAGTTTTTACTGAAGTCCATGGAAACATCTCTTAGGGTTGAGAGGGTGGGGTACATGTGGAGCCCACAACAGTGGGCAGCCTCCCATACCGGTCAGGGGGATTGACCAGGATCAGGCATCCAGATGGGGAGTGATCACCGTCATGGAGTCTACACCTTTGTAGTCCCGGGAGTGGTTCAGGGTCTGTCCTGGAGATTCATAGTGGTCAGTTTGGGAGTGCGGGCACAATGAGGTTGGGGAGATGTACAGTCATTGGTTAGGGGTGTGGCCTCCTCTGCTGTTCCTCTGGTAAAAGGATGCCTCTACTTTGCACCATTCCTCCCAACTGCCTCTTCAGGTCCCTGTCAGAGAATCACATGGCAATGTTCCTTTCAACAACATACTCAGAATTCAACCTTTAAAACAGCAACTCCACCCAACTCACATCGGCCTTATCTTTCTATGCTACCGATACAATGGAGCTAAATTTTGAGAAAATTTCAGGCCACAGTCTGTGGGATCACAGAGGCATCATTATATAATGAACTAGGAATGATCGATATAATTATCTCCGGTATTAGAATTCCAAGTTATTCAATATATATGTATAAAATTGATAGGCAAGAATAAAAAAACACTGGTTCATTAAGTCTGCCCTCTGCCTCTGTGGTTAGCATAACATGAACAACAATTCCTGTCTACATTTTCCCACTTCCCACACCTCCAATCCTCACACAGCCTGGGGAGATACAATTAAGAAGAAAGAATGCAGGACCAATACCAGAAGAAATACTGAGAAAACTTCACTTCTCCACTTCTCATGTGATTAAAACCAGTATAGGAGATCACATGGTACAAGTGTTATCTAAAATGATGCTGTATGAAATACAATCAGGAAGAACCACGGGAGTTTTCTCTTGAGTGTTATTCTTTTCCGTGATTTTTCCACAGCTCTACTAATGAAGTTAGAGGTAAAAGTAAAGTTGTCATAGTCTCAGTGGATTATAAGGTTGCTTTCCCATTAGAGAGAGATGACTGGTGGTGGTTTAACCTGAGGATCACCACACCTCAGGTGAAGATTGAGGTTTGAGAAGGCAGGACCATCGTGGTGGCCTCAGCTGGTGTGGGAAATGAACCTGTTGATGTCAACTTGTATGACAAGCCAGCTTTCCAGCCAACTGAACTAAGCAACACCCTTAAGTTGTGAAATGAGGTTAAGACATGTGTTTGGAAAACCTGCTCTCTGGAAATTTGCTCTTCCAACATTTTTAGTATTTCTGAGAGGCTAAGTCAGTATAATATTTAAAAATCCTCCCTTTCTAAAGTGTGCCATATTGTAGAGTTGGCTTTCATTCTAAATCTTTAATATTATCTTTTTCTAGTCCACTCGGAACAAAACTGAATTAGCAAAGAACCTTCCCGAATTAGTCAAGCAATTGGCCAATATCTCAACAAGTAGAGCTGTCACAGAACCTGGAAACCTCGCAACCACAGTTGAAATCCTCACGGCTTTTACATCTGTAACAAATGTTTCTGTTAACCTGTCCGTAGCGCAGGTAAGAATTATCCGCAATGTAAAGAAAAACTCAGAATTACCGAGTGTTAATTATTATTAAAACTCATTGAAAAAAGCAATATTCATCGTATTGTGGAGAATCATTGATATGGCTATTTCACAAACACGGCCACCAGTTTCTAACTTCTTCTGAAAGTAAGAAATAAAGCAGGGGAGTACTAATTGGGCCTCCCATTGTCCACCCATGCAAGTTGGGGAAGACCACAATTACACTTCAACTTTGTAGCAGCTATTTTTTGGTTAGGATTCCTGCCAGCTGTGTATTCACTATAGCTGCATTTTAAAATTTATTTTCATTTATTCATGGGGTAGGCCAGCATTTATTGCCCATCTCTAATTACCCAGAGGATAGTCAAGAGTCAACCATGTCCCTGTGAGTCTGAAGACCAAACAAAATTGCACTAAAGGGCTCTAGTGAACCAGATGAGTTTTTTTTTTCTCCTGACAGTAGTTTATTGATTACCATTTAACTCCCAATTTCAGATTCTTATTGAATTCAACTGCCATCTGTCGTGTACAGGATTTGAACCTACGTCCCAGAACTTAACCTGGGTACCTGGGATACTAGCCCAGCAATAATACCACTAGGTCATGACCACCCTGTATACAGAACAGTATATCGTTCCCTGCTTGAAAGAATTGCAGCAGATTAAAAATCCCAAAATCACCTTCTGAAATGTGCCAGAAAACTCAAGGTAACAACGGAAACTTGTGAAAAACCACCTTTGTACTTGTCATCTGCTTTTCTGAATATGCTTGGGTTGCTTTATTTAGAACAGAGAAGGTGGAGAGGTGATTTAATTGAGGTGTACGAGGTAATGAAGGGCCTAGATAGGGTGGACAGTGGAAAACTGTTTCCCCTAGCAGAGAGGTCAGTTATCAGAGAGCACAAATTTAAAGTGATTAGTAGAAGGATTTTCATGAAAAAAAACCTGTTTCATCCAGAGGCTGGTATTTGTCTGGAAATCACTGCCCAATTTTGTGGTTGAGAAGGAATCTGGATCTCCACTTGAAGTACTGTAACTTACAAGGCTACAAGCCAAGAACTAGAAGTGGGAATAGAATGGGTGGTTAGTTTATTCAGCTAGCACTGAGCTGAATGGTCTTATTCTGTGCCATAACTTTTCTATGATCCTATGGGAAGATCTAGATAGGAACACAGGAATGACTAATATTGGGATTTTTCACTGGGCTAGGCCAAGTTGAGAAGTTTTTAAAAATGGCAGGTGAGAACAGATTTCTGCCTCATTCCTGTTTCCAGATTTTTTTGCCCATTGGGATATAAGAGTGTGGATAGCCAACCTGCGCTCAGCACTCCTGCCCGAGCCAAACTCCATTGTGGGAATGGGCATTTCAAACCTCCCTAACTACAAACCTTAAGGGGTCTGAATCATTCTGTGAGTAGATATGATTCAAGTCTTCTCAGAAGAACCACAGGGACCCCTAGTCCAAATTGGGGAACCAAAAAATAAGCTAAAAACAGAAAACAGCAGATGCAGGAAATCTGAAACAAAAATAAATTGCTGGAGAAACTCAGCAGTTCTGGCAACATCTGTGGAGAGAGGAAGTACAGTCACCATGTGCTCAGTGGCCCTTCTTCAGAACCTCCATAGATAGTGCCAGACCTACTGAGTTTCCCAGTGTAGTGACTGGAGCCATGTAGATCTCATTGACAATGTGATCCTTGATTGGGGTTGTTAACCTGGGCCAATCAGGGAGCCCTGGCTGACAGATATAAACAGGGGATTCAGAGAGTCTCCTGACTTCAGGACTGACTCTGAGCTGGCTGGTCCCAGCCAGTGTACAGTGCACAAGTAAATAAAGGGTGACTTGGTGACAAGATACCAGCCTCTGTGCAGTTATTTCATCCAGCAATTTCTGTTTTGTTCCAACAATTAAGCTGTTCAACCTTTGAATTATATTTCCCCCTTACCTTTTCATAAGATTGTAATCAAAGCCAAAGATCTATTTTACACCCCTTAATTGACTGTAAATAAATACATATATTGAAAGAAAACACTTTAAACAGAGATCTGACTATTAAAACATAATAAATATGAGATTCAAACATAGAAATCTTTCCCCTCTGGAGTTGCAGGAACAGCTCCCTGCTGACAGTTAATTGGATTTGTTGATTTTTAGAGCTCAGCTAAACCTTTCTAATTAGACAAGCTTTCAACTGATTCAGCAGTAACAAGTAGAACAGATTTTATAAAAAAATCTTATTTGCTGCATCAGAGCCACCTCTGGAAACAGCATGTCTGACCTAATTCTGCCCTTACCTCTCCAGAAAGAATATGTGGTGGGCAGGTGTCACCTTAATGGAGATGGGCTTCTGGATGGAGGAACTTTCTTGACTTCCAGCACATAGTCCTTTCACCAAAATCCAGCCCTCAATGGCAACTTGCTTCATGGCACAAGGCTAAATGGAATGATAATGGGACAAACAATCAAAAGGCGCATTCGGAGAGGATATGAATAGCAGAATAATGTACATCTCTCATCCAAAAGCAAAACTAAGGGGGGAGTGGGTTAAAGCCAAGATCTGCAAAAAAAAGAGACAAAATAAGGGGAGAGGTTTTGAACTAAAATTGTACAATTCAATTTTGAGTCCCGAATACTATAAAGTGATGATCTGAAATTTGAACTGCTGTTCCTCAACTTTATGCTGAGCTTCATTGGAACACTCCATAAAACAGAGACCAAAAGTTTATTAGAGTGGGAGTGTTGTAGAGAATTAAGGCTGAAAGTTCGGGGTCACGCTCCCAGGCCAAATGGAAATGTTCTGTAAAGGGTTTACCCAAAGCGCATTTGGTATCCCCACTGCAGGGTAGACCACCCTTGTGAGCAAGAAATATAAGTCCAGATCTTCCAGATCTACGTGAAAGATGCTTATTGGGACATCTCGGAATTCCTGATGCAGCAAACTGCACTATAATTATATGGGAAGTTGAGACTTACCTCACATATGGAACTGCCCCCCACCCCTCCACACCCTCCCCACCCCGCCATGTAACTATCTCTTTACAGTCAGAGAGTTTGGAGTTTTCTGACTTACCTCACTAGTTATCCAGGAAAGGTGAGAGGATTAAAACATGCTGTAATTCATGGCTCTCTATAAAACCGCACCCCAACCCCCTGACCCTTTACCCTCTTACTCATACAGATCTCCACCCCTCCAGTCAACTGAACCATACTCCCACCCCTCACTGGAGAACAGATGACCTGACTCACCAACCACTGAAAACCCCACCCCCAAAAGCAATCCCCCCAACCCGTATCAGATACCAGCTCCCCTTTCCCTTTCCCCAGACACCCCACCCCATCACCTGTGACCTTACTGCCCCAAAGCTAAACCCACCCTATCCTCTCTCCTATTCACCTGCCACCTGCATCTGCCTGCTGCTATATTCCCTCACCCATCTGCCATGTTATCCCCTTACACACTTACAACCTTAATCTATTTATTCACCTGCCACCTCACCCATTTAATTGCTGCACTACACACTTACCTATGTTGCACCCTACAAATTACCTAATTTGCATGCCATCCCTTATTTAGCCACCCTAGCCCCTCGCCCACGTACCTCCCACACTACCCCTTTCTACATCTTGCACCCTGTCCCTTACCTGCTGTAACCCTACCTGCTCACCCACCTGGCACTCTACCCCCAAACTGCCTGGCAACCTACTCACTGGGCCATCTTAAATTGTGCTCCTTACCTGCCACCCTATCCACTCAGCCACATGGCACCCACTCCACATACCCTCCTAACCACCACACTACTTCCTCATCCACTTACTTTACACACTTACCTCCTCTCAGTAGCAGGCTTTCAACATTTTAATTCAGGTAAAAGGCAGCTAAAGCTGTAAAAGGGTGTGGTGCCTGTGATGATCCACTCTGATACTGCCTGTGCAGTTTGCTGGACTGTGTCTTGGGTTTAGATCCTGCACCATAAATTGGGGCTGAAAATCTTGGCAAGTTAAGTAGGAAAACTTTTCATTTGACATGGTTCAGAAATAGTGATTCTGGATGGGTGCCCTCAATGAAGAAAGACCACCCTCTGAGTATAATACTCCCTTCCTGACATTTTCAAATACCCGTTCCCCCACGCCAACTGATTTATGTTGTTTGAAGAGTAATATTGGGGTCCATCAGGCTTTTAGCAAGCTCAATTTACCCTTAATTATTCATTTATGTAAGATTGGCTAGCTTCCGTATTTTGGTGCTTCCCCCCATCCCATTTATAATTAGAGTGAACTAGGGGCTGGGTGGGAAGATGGTGGGTTGCTATCCCACTGAAAACACACCCGACACAGGCATATAATACCCAGATCACGAAAAAGCAGGACATAACCATGATTTCAAAAACAGAAATTGCTGGAAAAGCTCAGTAGGTCTGGCAGCATCTATGGAGAGAAATCAGAGTTAACATTTTGGGTCAAGTGACCCTTCCTCAGAACTCTGAACTTCCTCAGTTCTGCGGAAGGGTCATTTGACCCGAAACGTTAACTCTGATTTCTCTCCACAGATGCTGCTGGAGCTGTTGAGCTTTTCCAGCAATTTCTGTTTTTGTTTTTGATTTACAGCATCCACAGTTTTTTTCAGTTTTTAACCATGGATTATTGGGAGAAAGCGAACAGAGTTAAAGAAGAGTTTGTTTACCATGCTAATGAATTCAGGCAGGCAGAGGTGAGAAGAGTGAACATGAGACTTTTTAGGTCTCCCATTGTAAGATCTGACTGTCTCAAATACACTCACTTCCTTTTGTTCCAAATAAAATGAATCATCTAATAAAGCTTTGTCTTATGTTTCCAGGATTTCCTTGTCACAATAAACGCTATTATTGATCAATCTACCCTGCCATCCTGGAAAATAGTGACAGAATACAAGAACATCAGCTCTCAATTACTGTTGTCTGTAGAACAAATTACCAGGCTATTGTCTCCAACTGAAGAAACTTTCAACATCACAAAGCCTAATGTTCAGTTGAAGGGAGTGAAGATTAACTCCAATTCTCATAAGGATTATGAATTGAATTTCAGTGACTTTATATTTAGAAATATATCATTAACCAGTTTTGTGAGAATTGATCAAAATGATTTGCTAATGCTCCCAAATGGTTCCCTTGTTATCAGCGTCGCATATGCAACATTGATTGATATCCTTGGCCTATTAAACAAGGATTCGAACAGCACAGCCAAATTGAATGGTCTTGTTGTGACAACAACAGCAGAAAATTCTTCAATTAATATCGAGATGGTTTTCTCAACACTGAACAATACATTTGATCTCGATACTGCTAAGTGTGTGTTCTGGAACTTTTCTCTGAATGGAGGGGAAGGATGGGAATCAACGGGATGCACCGCTGAAACAAATGGGGACAATGTTGTTTGCAAGTGCAAACACCTGACTTCCTTTTCTTTTCTGATGTCACCTTATTTACGTGAAGAAAGCATAACCCTGAACATCATAAGCCTGATTACAACGGGAATATCTATTGGGTGCTTGATAATTGGTCTTATTATAGAGGCAGTTGTGTGGAAGCATGTGACCAAAACTAAGACATCACAAGCCCGTCACATGATGATGCTGAATATTGTTCTATCCCTACTTGCAACTGATGTATTCTTCATCACGTCTCACTATCTGAAAGCAAAAACAATAATCTGCATAGTGACTATTTTCTTAATGAACTTTTTTTATCTTTCTTTGTTTTTCTGGATGTTTACTCTAGCACTTCTGCTTCTTTATCATTTGGTTTTTCTTTTCAAAGATTTCAGCAAAACAACAATTATGATCATTTCATTTGCTCTTGGCTACTTGTGTCCACTAATAATTTCCATCAGCGCTTTTGCAGTTGGCTTCCCTCAAAATCATTACATACAACAAGAGAAGTGCTGGCTCAGCAAAGAAAAGCTTTACCTGCATCAGCTTTTTATTGTCCCAATATCGAGCATCATTGGGATGAACATCTTCATTACGTTTCTTGCCATATTTAAAATACTGAGACCAACCGTTGGGGACAAGCCAAAGAACAGTACCAAGGACACTAATAAGACCAAGCAAGTCTGTAGAAGTGTTGTTATCCTCAGCTCAGTCCTGGGCCTCACTTGGGCACTTGGATTTGTATTCTTTTACAAAGATTCCTCCAAAATCTTCGATTATGCATTTAATATCCTCAATGGACTCCAGGTATGTACCATATAATGCCTGTAACTCTTGATATTTTGCTGGTTGGTTTTGTACAGCTTATACAAGCAACATGTAAGAGTTCTTTGCATAAAATATACTGAACATGTTATAAAGGTACAATATATTATGGGGCAGGAGCTCAACACAGGCAGAGCAACAAGAATGTGGAGGGAACAAAAGAGTGACAGTTATTTTGTAGCACTGACAGAGTTAAACTTGCATTATCCAAGAGGCACGGGAGCACCTACATCAGGCATTAAAGAATGAGAAAGTAATTCTCACCTTCATCTTAAATGTGAGACAACCCATTAATTTGCTGGCCAAGTAATAAGGGTCATTTATTCAAGGCTGAGCTGGGCAGAGTTTTGACAGTAAAGAGAATCAATGGTAAGGGGATAGGCAGAAATGTGATCAGGGCAGCCAAGATCTTATTGAAAGTCAAATGGCCTACTCTTGCCCCTAAGTGCTGTGCTCCCCTACGAGGAGAATGTTTCCTTCACCTTGTCATTGTTGCATTCAGTGCATTTACAATGAAAAATTCAGCATTGTCCATCATATGTAGCTCCCTTCAGTGGGATGTTGGGGTTCACTTTAAGGTGCAGGACCATGAAGTAGGTGACTTTCTCGCAGCATCCTGCAAGATAGTCTTTTAGCAGCAACATTCTCAGCTCAGAACAACATTCTCAGTGGTGTTCCTATTAATGTCACTGTTGGGGTTTCATTAGCTCAGTCGATTTCAGACTGGAGGCTTGTGACCAGCGGTGTGCCACAAGGACCGGTGCTGAGTTCACTGTTTTTTGTCATTCATACAAATGATCTGAATATGAACAGAGGAGGTATGGTTAGTAAGTTTGCAGATGACACCAAAATAAGTAGTCTAGTGGACAGTGAAGAAGGTTACCTCAGAGTATAACGGGACATTGACCAGATGAACCGATGAGCCAAAGACGGATGAAGTTTAATTTAGATAAATGTGAGGTGCTGCATTTTGGAAAGGCGAATCAGGGCAGGACCTATACACTTAATAGTAAGTTCTTGGGGAGTGTTGCTGAACAAAGACACCTTGGAGTGCAGGTTCCTAGTTCCTTGAAAGTGGAGTTGCAGGTAGACAGAATACTGAAAAAGGCATTTGGTATGCTTGGTCAGTGCATTGAGAATAGGAGTTGGAAGGTCATATTGCAGCTGTACAGGGCATTGGTTAGACCTCTTTGGGAATATTGCATTCAATTCCTGTCTCCCTGCTATAGGAAGGATGTTGTGAAACTTGAAAGGGTTCAGAAAAGATTTACAAGGGTGTTGCCAGGGTTGGAAGGTTTGAGCTATAGGAAGAGGCTGAATAGATAGGGTCTATTTTCCCTGGAGTGTTGGAGGATGAGGTGACCTTATAGAAATTTATAAAATTGTAAGATGCATGGATAGGGTGATAGGATAGGTCTTTTCTCCAGGGTTGGGGAGTCCAAAACTAGATGTCATTGGTTTAAGGTGAGCAGGAAAGATTTAAAAGAGACCTGAGAGGCAACTTTTACATGCAGAGTGGTGGTGTGTGTATAGAATGAACTGACAGAGGAAGTGGTGGAGGCTGGTACAATTATAATATTTAAAAGTCATTTGGGTGCGTACATGAATAGGTAGGGTTTAAAGGGACATGGGCCAAATGCTGGCAAATGGGACTAGATTAATTTAGGATATCTGGTCAGCATGGATGGGTTGGACCAAAGTTTTTGTTTCCATGTTGTGTATCTCAATTACTGTAGGATTGGATGGCTGATTTGCAATGCTGCTCTGAGAAAGGGTCATTTAACCCAAAGCATTAACACTGATCTCTCTTCACATATGCTGCCAGACCTGCTGAGCTTTTCCAGAGATTTCTGTTTTTGTTACAGTAAGATGTAGTTTACTGTACTTCTCAGGCCTGTCCTCTGTTCATCCTGGTATGAACACTAGTCCTAAACTGGTAGCCTTAATGTAACTGAAGATTCATCTTCATCAGAGAAAGCAAGGTTGGGGAGACTGTCATTCAGAAAAATGTTGAGACATATAAATGAATTGGATATAGACAGCTTATTCAGTATGGACTGTGAGGTTTGAAGTAAACATGGATCTTAAAATTTCCTTAGCAACTTATGCTTTTCTACTTGCTTCACTAGTTTTGATAATACCAACAATAAACAGTGTATGGAGTAAGAATCATTTCCTGCTAAAACAGGATTTTTAGTTGCCAATCTACCAGTGTTTTTATTAGATGTTAGTAGGTAAAATTTAAAGGTCATTAGTTGAAATTTTACATTCACATCCCTATTTTGTAGCAGCATTCTGCTACTGGATACCAAGCCATATTCTACCATGGCTACACAAATGGACATGTCCAAACAATGAGATCTCAATAAATCATAAGAAATAGGTACAAGAGTAAGCCATTTGCTCTATCAAGCAATTTCCATCACTCAATAGGATCATGCCTGGTCTAATGATGGACTTTCTTGCCTGTCACTTATAACCTTTAACTTCTTTGCCAATGAAAACTCATCTATTTAATTTCACATATAATCACTGACCCAGTCCTTACTGCTCTCTGTGGAAGATCTGTGAAAAGCAATGTATACATATTCAAGTTTCTTGTTGGAACAGCACCACATACTGCCAAAATTTATTATCAGCTCTTTATGTAGCAGTATCAATATCTGCAACCCTTCTGGTTGTGCATGGAGATTATAGTCGAGTTTTTTTGCTGAGAACATTTTTAAGGCATTTATAAAGTACCTTTTAACATAGCAAAGCATCCCAAGGTGCTTCAGGAGCATCATCAAACCAAAAATGATACAAGATTACATAGTGACATATTATGTGAGACATTGAGCTGGTAAAACAGCTAGGTCTTAAGGGGGTGACTTAAAAGAGAAGAGAAAGAGATAGGCAATCTAGAAGAATTTGATGTGTTGGTAACACCCTATTAATGCCTTCAAATGGAAGGTAAATCACCTCCCTTATAAAATTAGATAACTATTTATAGTAGAAACACTTGTTAGCTATTATATAACATTGAGTTCATCGACAATTGGAAAATCTATAATTCAAGAGCTGAGAGTGGTTGTTAGCAATGGGACTGCAGGAAGGTCTAATAAAATGGTTAACAAAATCCCAACCATGCCCCTGTTTTCTACAGCTGGTCAGAAAATCTTGTGAAAATATATGAGCTATATCAGCGTAGAGTAGACAAACAAGCCATTTATCAGTGCGAGTGTTTTGTGTCAGTCGTTAAATGGTTGTTTATCAACTTTTATCTACTTTTGTTTTCAGGGATTCTGTATTTTGATTTTTGGCATACTCATGGACAGTAAGGTAAGTTGCAATCAACAGCTTTCCCAACTTCATGTGTTCTTCACCCCACTTAATTTTTTTTCCCTCTAATTACTACTTTAGATACAAGCAGCGTTAATGCAGAGGTTTGAACAATCACCAAATTCTTCTCAAAAGACGGTATGTTTATATTCAGTTTCTGTCATTGTAAGTCTTCACATTCTACCATTGTATCAGGTAGAAGGCAACTTCTCCTCCTAAAATCCACGAAACCTTGTCCTTAGAGAACACACACTTTGACAAGTTGAGCATGGGGACAAAGACATGGTAGATACAGTTTAACATAGTTAAGTGCGAAGTTATAAAGGTTGAGTATTGTTGTTGTGTTTTGAAGTAAGGTCACTGGACCTGAAATGCTATCTCTGCTTTCTGTCCACCGATGTTGCCAGGCCTGCTGAGCTTTTCCAGCAATTTCTCTTTCTGTTTCTGAGTATTATTTCAATGGTAATGTTAGGAAATGTGGATATGCAAAGGGATCTAGGTGTCCGTGTACATCAGTCAATGAAAGTAAGAGGCAGGTGCAGCCTCATTTAGAATGCTGGCCTTCATTGCAAAAGGATTTGAGTTTGGAAGTATGGGCGATGTACTATAGTTATATAGGGCCTTGGTGAGGTTATACCTGGAGTATTTTGTGCAGTGTTTGTCACACTACCTGAGGTAGGACATACTTCTCATAGAGGGAGTGCAGCAAAGTGTCACTAGGCTGATATCACGGATGACAGGACTGTCTTATGAGGAGAAATTTGTTCAACTGTGCCTGTAATTACTACAGTGTAGAAGAATGAGAGGGGAACTGATTGAAATGTATAAAATTCTGACAGGGCTGGAGAGACCAGATATGTTTCCTGTGACTGGGCAGTCTAGAACCAGGAGTCACGTCTCAGGATATGGATAAAACAGTTAGGATTGAGATGAGGAAACATTTCTTCACTCAGAGAGTGGTCATCCTGTGGAATCCGCATCTACTGAGGGCTGTGGCGGCCAGGTCACCGATTATATTCAAGAAAGATATTGATACATATTTAGATATTAAAGAAATAAAGAGCCATAGAAAGGAAACAGGAATATGGCTTTGAGATAATGGGAAAACTCTTATCGTATTGAATGGTGCAGCAGGCTCAAAGACCAAATGGCCTACTTCTGCTCCTAGTTAATATATTTCTATGTTTAGATAACCATGGCCATTGGGAAGATTTGATCAATCACCAGATTTTTCAGTTTAGTTTTGTAAATTAGAGTTTACACATATGTATACTTTCTGTCCTTTCCATGAGCTGTTGATTTGTTGTATACTGGGGAAATCGAATAGTGACTCTCCTTCCGAGCATGTGTCATGGCCCCGTTAATTATTCTAAATCTCTTTTCTGGGGCTTCAGCTGAAGTCAGGAGGAATAGTCCCCAGTTAGGTATTGCAATACTAAAGCAGATAGCAACAGCAATTGGAGTGCAACTCAGAAACACTTGGAAATATTGGAGAGCAGTATCAGAGCAGTTGGTTCCAAACCTTGGTCACACCTTGTTGAGAAGTGTAGATGCAGGATGGGTTTTTTATATGCAAAGAAAGGGGAACCCAGACAAGACAGAGAATCAAGATCTGCAGAAACTAATCCTATCCAACAGGTACAATGTACTTGCTAACTGTAAGAATAAGGATAGAAATTGTTATAAGAATCTCTGTTTCTCCTGCTTTGTTTATGTCAGCATCAAAGATTAACATTCATATTTATCTAATTTTTAAAATATGAACGTGGCTAACATGATAGTGAATAGATAATCAGCTTTTGTCAGTCAAACAAGCTGAGTTTCTCCAGCAATTTCTGTTTTTGTTTCAGATCTTGAGCATCCACTGTTCTGTTCTTTTTTTAATCAGCTTTTGTGATATTGATTCAGAGATAGATGTCGATCAGACACCAGGAATAAGTCATCACTTCTTCTTTGAAATCGTGCCTTAAAATCTGTTACATGCCATTGGCCGATATATGTTATAGGCCAATAGGGATACAGTTTAATGTTTTGCCTAGAAGCCAGCATCTCCAACAGTGCAATGCTCCTACAGTACTACAATATTGTCCTATCAGACTCACTTTGTATGCACACTAGCCATGGAATAAAATTTGAACCTTGGATCTTTTGGTTCACTTGCAAGACTGCTAGCTATCAAGTGAGCCACAACTGATGTAACCAGAATGCAAGTTGTGGCACTTTGGAGCTGGGGACTGTCAAAAACAGATTGGTGGAGGTGGGGAATAGAATGAAGAGGGAAGCTTAATTTGGTCGAGTCATTGAGGTATTCAGCGTGGAAACAGGCCCTTTGGCCCAACTCGTCCATGTTGAGCAAGTTTCCTAAATTGAACTAGTCCCATATATCTGTTTTTAGCCCATATCGCTCAAAACATTTCTTATCTATGTATCTGTCCAAATGTTTTGTAAATACTGTAATTGTACCTGCCTCTGCCACTTCCTCTGGCAGCTGTTCCATATATGCACCACACTCTGTGTAAAAAAGGTTATAGTTGTATGCAATTCAATAACTAGGGTTGAGGGAGCCGATGAAGTATATATAACCAAGATGAAGAGTCCCACATGATACACTGTCCATTGGTGAGGCACATATCAAGCTTGCATGAGAGGCTATTTGAGAGGATGGAAGAGGAGTCAATTATTCTGATCCATATTGGCATCAAGAATATTCTGAAGAGTAGGAAAGAGGTCTTTACCAGGAATAAGGAGCCTGTGTTTGTCTTGATAAAATAACTGAGAGGGGCAGTGCTTTTTCACAAAATATTCCCTTTCACAATTTGTAAACAAAGGTTTACATGTAGTGATTGAATTGAAACTCCAGTTTTGTTGATTCAAGTGTTACTTTTTCCATAAAAAAGGGTTAAAATCCAGCTAGGTATGTGTTATAAAGATTTACAATCCCAATTCCCTTTTAGTCAGCAAGATTTTTTTTCTGATTATCAATTATTGTCATTTCTTTAATTAATGAATTCCTGTAACTATTAGTTCATTTTCCATATATATTTTCTTTCTATTGCAACCCATTTCCTCATTTTACGTACGTTTTGAGTCCTCAAATTCTGCAGAGGTTCTTCTGTTTTGAGAAATGACCCTTTAACTCCAATTGCATACAAGACTTATTCATGCAGTCATTTCATGGAGTTATTTTAACCAACTTGGTTGGAGATGCTGTGACACACCTCCAGGGCAGGTGGGACTTGAACCCAGATCTCTGGCTCAGAGGTAGGGACACTACCACAAAACCTCAATCACCACATTGTAGCAATTCTGTTAGTATGTACAGGTTGCTCCTAATTCTTACATTAGTTAGTCTCGTTCACTCTAACCTCCCAGCTAATACCTCTGATTTGCCTCCCCATATACTGCATTTAGTTTCCGTACTTCTTATTAAAAAATAAAGGATTTATTCATATTGTACCTTTCAAGACCAGGATCAGAGGTTGAGGCGTGACCTTATAGGGTTTACAAAATCATAAGGACCATGAACAGGGTGAATAGCAAAGATCTTTTTCCCAGGGTAGGGGAGTCCAAAACTTGAGGGCATAGGTTTAGGATGAGAGGGGCAAGGTTTAAAAAGGATATGAGGGGTAACTTTTTCACACAGATGGTAGTGCATGTATGGAAAAAGCTGCCAGAGGAAGAGGTGGAGGCATCTGGATGGGTATATGAATAGGAAGGTTTTAGAGCAATTAGGGCCAAATGCTGGCAAGTGGGATTAGGTCAGATTGGAATATCTGGTCAGCATCGAAAGTTAGACCTAAAGGTTTGTTTCTGTGCTGTATGACTCTATGTCCAAAGCACTTTGCAGCCAATGAAGTACTTCTGAAATGCAATCATTCTTACATAAATATAACTTAGAGCATGATTCATATTCAGCAAACTGTGTAACAAGATGCTCTTTTAAAACACTCACTTTGACTTATTCTGGTATTTTTGGAGCATTGTCTAAAAGAGTAAAAAACGTATGCAAAGAAAGATGATACAAATGGTTTCACGTTTCAGGTCCGGTGACCCTTCCTCAGAAGGGTTCTGAGAAAGGGCCACCGGACCTGAAATGTTAGCTCTGATTTCTTTCTTCACAGATGCTGCCAGACCTGCTGAGCTTTTCTGGCAACTTCTGTTTTTGTTCCTGATTTACAGCATCCGCAGTTCTTTCGGTTTTTAAACAAATGGTTCCATTTGGTAAGAGTCAATTTTGTTTCTTTTTCAGAAACTAATTGTCAGTACAACTTCAAATACTTATTGAACATCTGGTGATGAAGTATTTTTCAATAAAAGGTTAGTACAATAACAAAACAAACATACCAAGTCCCTAGCTGGTTATTAATGGAGATCTGTCCATGGTGATTTTCAGGTAAAATGTCACACAGGGTTGACAAGTGGTTTTGCCATAAATAGGTGAAGGGCCTAGTTGAAATCTTCAAAAAGCAACCAGTTGATATTGCCATGCCTCCTAACACTTTTCATGCGTCCATTAGCAAAGCCATTGATATTTCCTCAACTCATCCACAAATCATGGGCAATACAGACAGGGAAGTAGTTTTTACAGTGCAACTTAAAGAAAATGTGGCATGGTGGCTCAGTGGTTAGCTCTGCTGCCTCACAGCGTCAGGGACCCAGGTTCAATTCCACCCTCAGGCGACTGACTGTGTGGAGTCTGCACATTCTCCCCATGTCTGTGTGGGTTTCCTCACACAGTCCAAAGGTGTGCAGGGTAGGTGAATTGACCATGCTATAGTGCCCAGGGATGTTTAGGTCAGGTAGGTTAGACAGGGGAAATGCAGGGATAGGGGAATGGGTCTGGGTGGGATGCTCTTCAGAGGGGCAGTGTGGACTTGTTGGGCTGAATGGCCTTTTTCCACAGTGTAGGGATTCTATGAATGTGCCACAAAGGCCCAGAAGGACTTATTTTGGTTATATGCTAGTTAAGGGGCTAAGCTACCCAGAAAATTTCAGAATATTTTCTGAAGAAGGGTCTAGGCCCGAAACGTCAGCCTTCCTGCTCCTATGATGCTGCTTGGCCTGCTGTGTTCATCCAGCCGTATGCCTTGTTGTCTCAGATTCTCCAGCATCTGCAGTTCCTACTATCTCAGAAAATTTGTGTGTTTGTAGTGACTACTCAACCTTCTACCACTTGTAGGAACTCCTGCCAATTTGGCATTTTCAAGCTTATATGCTCCATACTGTGCAAGTGAAAAGCTATAAAGCATCAGCATTTTAGATGAAAATCAGTTACTGTAGATGAAATATGAAAATAAAAAGCAAAACATAAAATATGATAAGAACAGACTGAATGTGAGCATCCGTTGTTTAGAAATAAGCAAATCATCTTCATTTGGGAAAGTCTGAGAAATAAATATATTGGGGTATTGCAGATCTTCTGAGTTCAGTTTGGACCATCACACAGCATGCTTAAAATGTTAGCCAACATTCTTATACTATGCAAAATGGTCTTTCCAATGACCCGGTGCTGTCTCAGTATTTTCTCCCTGACTTTCCATACCTCCTATTATCACAGCTTTGTCTTGGTTGTCATGCTGTCTAACATGGCAAAAAGGCAACTACAAAGTGGAAACAACAACCGGGCTATCCACTTTGAATGGCATTGAGCGAAAAGGCTGTCTGCTGCCCCGTACTTCAAAGTATCAAAATGCAATTAATCACCTGAACCAAATTCCTAACGGCTCATTTCATTGGGACGCTGGCAGAGGCCTGGAAGCAGTTGGCTTGGCTGGAAGTGGGGAGTCAGGAAAGGGGAGATGAGAAGCACTAACACAAAGTTAAAGAGGAGCAAGGTCAACGTGGCATCAACCTACATCGCTTTTGTAGAATAAGGAAAATGTATCTGTTCCTTCCACCTTCATAAGATATAAAAGTAGTTATTGCAATATGTTGATGGAAAAATCAATGCTTATGGCAGAACAAGCAGTTCCCTTAAACTTGCAATTCAGTCCTGGCTACAGCATCTGACTAGGACCATGACTTGCTAAAGCTTGTTCCAAGCAAGTGCTTCAAGCACGTTTGCATGTTTGTAGCCTTTTGTCTCATAAGGTGATTGTTTATGTCACAGTGGTGAACTTTGAGTCAGACATCACCTGATGTGGTTCAGGATATCCACTTTTGTATGGGGGGGGTCACTGTCACATTTATAGCAGAGGATGTAAGTATACTAACAAGGTGCACAATTCACTGGCTTCTGTTTCCTCTGACCACCTCCTTGGCTCACTGAGCTTTCTGTTCCTCCTAGCCTCTTCCGGTGCCCCTCCAAAAAGCCACCCTCCAGACGTCATGGCCATTGGCAACTGTATCCCAGTTATCACAGAAACTCTTTGGGTATATAGCCATCATCCATTTGATGAACATGATTGGGCAGAGGTAATGAGGTGATAACGCTCTTGTCTGAAACTTGGGCCCATACTAACATCTCCGCTAAAGAAGTTAAGAAAGAACTTGGATCAGGAAGGAGTATACCATATACAACCCCAAGTATTCTTTACCTTTCAATAAGACAATGGCTGAACATTTACACAAACTCTACTTTTCAACTCTACCCCTAATTTTCCAGATTAAAAATTTGCCCTGACATTGAGCCTACTGTGAAATCAAGTAAGAGTATTCCGATTCTCAAACAGGTTAAAAATGTGACTCTTGTAGGGTAATATCATGCATCCGACTGTGCCCTGTGATACCTGAGTCTTAATAGTTTACTGCTACTTAATTTGTATCCCATTTTTGGCCTTACAGGTTCCTGGAATATTACCGAGCAATTACGTGAAAGAGATCGGGTTACTTCATGGGACATTCGACTTGTATATGAGAGATTGGCATTTATTCATTTATAATTGTGCGTGTGAATCATTTATAATCATGGTGCACTGAGATTCCAACACACTGTGCTATCATTAATAATTATGGGAATGGTTAATGCAGTAGAAATCATGTGAAAGGCAAAAATGTTCATAACATCTTGGAGGTAGCATCATAGATTGCAAAGACATGATCAATAGATTTCACAACCTCCAATATTTTCAAAGCATATTGGACAATTGTTTTCTTTCTGTAGTTTGACAATAGGGATACATTGATACTATTATTTCATCCTTTATCTGAATACCTCGCCTCAAATTGCTCATTAACATTGTGCAAATGTCTAATACTGCACTTCCTACAAATCTCTTTTAAGCTAATGTTTGAATGTGGAAGGCATCGGGGAAAGTTATCTTCCAGAGACACTTACATTGCCTAACGTGCCACTTAGTTGTATCAAAATCAGATATCCATATGGACTGCAAAATTTCAAGAAGGTGGTTCATCACCAACTTCTGAAGAGCAATTGGAAACCAGGAATAAGCGTTGGCCTAGCCACATCCTGTAAATGAATTAAATCTAAACATGCATTAAGTCTCCTTCACTCGTGATAGCAAGAACATCAGGTTAGACATATTAGAACATAGTCTAATATGCAGTAAACACTACCACTGCGCACCTCCCCCACCACCCCCACCACCCCTAGCCACCCACTAAAAAGTCACTCTGATAAAGCCAGAACTGTTTGGCCAGCATCAACAGCCCAAATTGCATTTCCGATCCTATCAAAGAATCTGGGTCTGTGCCCAGGCAATTTCTTTTCTGTCCCTCAGTCAACACCACCCCAACAGCAAGCCATTTCCTTGGCAGAGGAAAAATAGCAAATAACAAAGGAAATAAAAATCTGTCAAACCAGTTTCAAATTCAATAACAATAACACGAATCAGCTGATATGTTGAATAACTAAATTAATGTACATCATGGCACACATTACAAAGGCGACTACAAATGGAAAACACTTCAATGGCTATAAACAGTTCTGGGATGAAGATGACATGGTGGTGTGAATGGTAGTATCATTTGTTTTTTTGAGTTACCCAGTGTCAGTGACTACTTACTGGGTTTCTATTTTTAAGATGTGGATGTGTAGGCGTTGGATTGGTGTGGACAGAGTCAGAGGTCACATGACGTCAGGTTATAGTCCAACAGGTTTATTTGAAATCACAATCTTTCGGAGCATTGGCCCTTCATCAGATGAAGTGAGAGACTCTCTGAAAGCTTGTGATTTCAAATAAACCTGTTGGACTTAAACCTGGTGTTGTGTGACTTGTGACTTTTATTTTTAAAATTCCAGATTTTACAAATGAATATTGTTGCTTGTGATTGGCAACGGTCTTGTTTCAAGACCGTTTTAACCAATGAATTATTTTAGATTAGTATTTTTCTTATGTCTTTCAGCAGTTTAGTATCAATAGTTATGTTGCATATATTTTATGGAAGTCAATCTCTTCATGGTAACTTTATGATTAATAAGTAATGCAAGAGTGAAATCAGAATCAATATATTAACTCAGATCATGAGGTGGTTTGTTTCTTATCAAGCAATTTTTCACAATATTTGAAAGTAATACTGAGAATTAATAAACTAATTAATAAATTGTGCTGATTTTTGCATTGCGTATTGTACGTATACTTGCAAGGTATGAGTGAATAGTTTAGTTATTCCTATGTTCTGAATACTGCATTGTGTTCTCTGATTTAATGTTTGATTTAATATTCATTTTTACTATGATTTCTATACACATTGGCATGTTAGTGTAAGGAAACAAACATTTAGCAAGATAAGCAGGAACTACATCTGGCTAAATGTACTAATGTTGAAACTTTGTGTCTTTTTGCATTAGAGAGTGCGCTGTGCATTATATTACACTGATTAGTAAGTTTATATTTCTGCATCATTGTATTCTAATGCATTTGTAATTATTGTATCTTATTGATGGATGGTTGTAATGTTAAAGTGTTTTAAATTGATCAAGAAGTGACAATTTTAAATAAAATAAGTATTAGATGGATGGCAAAGTAGTGCATCTGGAATTCTATGTTATAGAAGTAAGATCATATTTTATGAATAAACCTAATAGATACCTAATTCATGAATTGTTTGATGTAGAGTCTGCCATCTCTGCCCACACTCAACACATTTTCATCTCCTGGAGTCAGGTCGAACAGGCTTCGAGTAAAACACATCTACCTTTTAATGCAGCACTTGAAGTTGTCAAAGCATTCAACTCTTACCTGTCAAAATGCTCTCGACTCCTCAACTAGTTTGCATCAAACATTTCCAAGCACTCAAAGTGTCATTCTTCACTGGGACAGCGCACTGGAAATTAAGCACAGGAAATCATTCAGAGTCATCACTCTAGTTAAAGATTTTAACAGTGTGCAAGATTCAGCTTAATATCAAACATGGACCAGGTTGCTGTACTTAGCCAGAGCTGCTGTTAATTATGTACCACAGATAAATGATTATAAATTGCTGACATTTATTTATAGAGTAAAAACTCTAACCACCTTATAACCCCCCTACACACAAACATACAGACAGATAGACAAAGAAAATGTTGTAAAAACTGAAAGAACTGCGGATGCTGTAAATCAGGAACAAAAACAGAAGTTGCTGGAAAAGTTCAGCAGGTCTGACAGCATCTGTGAAGGAAAAAACAGAGTTAACGTTTCGGGTCTGGTGACCCTACCTCAGAACTCAAAAAACTGTTGTTATGGGTGGAGGGAAAGAAAACTGGGAAAGTAGTTCAATAGCCCCAGTCAACATGGTTCACTGAGATAATCCTTTTGCTTGGCATTCTTTAATCTTTTTCCTCCAGGTTCTTTTTCATTTCTTCTCAGGGGGCACAGGTGACTGGTATATTATTTGCAAAGTGTCTTAGTTATTGATTACAGCAATTAGTGTGGGAAAATGAATTGATTTTCTTCTGGCTTTAGGTATTTTAGAGAGAAAGACAGCATCTCTATTTTTGGAGGTATGATAACATCATGCCATATCATTTGCTCTCACAAGCTGCACAGCTGTCCAGGAACCAATCATGTTGTTGTTGGCAGGCAGATTACCTTTGTCATTCCACAGGTCGCAACTCTGAACCAATCAGCTATCTATTGCTGACTCAATCTCACTTTGTGTACACCCACTGGTGTCCCCTCCATTGCTTGAGCAAAGCTACAGTGTAAACACTGCTTACAATGAGTTTTGGTACACTCTTTTATAAAGTGCAGCAATCCCTTCCACATTCTTTGGTTTTAAAACAGTCCTTTTTTCAATTTCTGTCCACAATGAAAAACACAGAAAACTGAAAGGATTTCAGAGATAGTAGGAACTGCATATGCTGGAGAATCTGAGATAACAAGGTGTAGAGCTGGATGAACACAGCAGGCCAAGCAGCATCAGGAAGGGTCTAGGCCCGAAACGTTAGCTTTCCTGCTCCTCTGATGCTGCTTGGCCTGCTGTGTTCATCCAGCTCTACACCTTATTATCTCTAAACTAAAAGGATACTGTCTTTACAATATGTTTTCAGAAGCCTTCTAAATTTAATTGACTTAACCTGTTAGAAGTACTGGAGACAGGGAAACAAATTTCCCCTAAGGTTATCAATGGCAACGCCTATGTCAGAGGATGTGCATTTGGTGTCTTAAACCAAAATTAACTCAAACATTTTCCTGACTATGGTTAGATTGCATGACATATTTTCCAGTGGATAATTCAAAATTAAATGCTGCAGATTTCTGTTTGTGCTAAACCTACAACTGACGCAGACTTCTTTGGGAATAAAAACCAGGCTGAAAGATTGTTTTCTCTTTATTATTTCAAAGCAGATGATCTGTCAACCTAACAGGTGATCATAGATAGCTTATGGCACAGAGAGTGACCACTTAGCCCAAAATGTAGAACGTTACTTGGTACTGAATGAAATGATCAGACTTCTGACTTTGTCCGCCCCAGTCCAACACTGGCATCTCCGCATCCTGAATGACACAGGCTTTGGTGGGAAAGTTGGGTAAATCGCATAAAGTTGCCAGTGAGGAATTTCTCAACATTGAGGGCAAAATGTCCCAATTACCAACCAGGTGTTGAATAACAAGGCGGAATTCTTGCTAGCGAGAGACAAGAGGGCTATAAGTACCATTTGCATGTATTAACATCTCATTATTAGTTAATATCACTTTGGTAATGTGTAGTTTCCCATTCTCCCACTCAAAGGATAAATATTGGCTTCCGACATGCCAGCTCCATCACACCCTCTAGGTCCAGCTCTGATCTACTTACACGATGGGTCTGCACCTCAGTGCTGCACCTTCCATCGCAAAACTGCTGCAAGGACACTTTGAACACAGGGACAGACACCTGCTTCATAGATACAACCAAGCCGTATCACAGGCATCCTCCTTTGCTCATGGACCAGCTAGCACTGACTTTCACACTGGAAATGACAATAGCAAACACAGTCCTGTCGACCTTGCAGAGTGTTCCTTACAAGCAGCTGAGGGCTAGTACCAAAATTGGAAGAATTGTCCCAAAGGCTACTCAAACAACAGTCTGATATAGACATAGTGCAGAGAATCATAACTGACAGACAATGTCCCAGAACATGTCATCACTGTTCCTAGTATGTCCTGTCCCAGCAGCAGGACAGTACCAGGAGAGATGAGATCAACATGGGAGTACGCCACACTGACTCCAGATATCACAAAGTCTCATAGCTTGGGTTAAACATGTACAAGGAAACCTCCTGCTAATTATCATGTACCATCCTCCCTGACCGGATGAACCAGTACTCCTCCACATTGAACAACACATGGAGGAAGCACCAAGGATGGCAAGGGCACAGAACATACTCTGGGTGTGGACTTCAATGTTCTTCACCAACAGTGGCTTGGCAGCATATCTACTGAGCTGGTTGGGTCCTAAAGGGCATAGCTGCTAGGCTGGATCTGTAGCAGGTAGTGAAGGAACCAACAAGAGGGAAAAACATACGTGACCTCATCCTTAACCAATCTGCCAGCTGCAGATGCAACTGTCCATGATAATACAGAAACAGTGACCACTGCACAGCTGTTGTGGAGGTGAAATCCTGTCTTCACTTTGAGAATGTCTCTGTTTATGGATTAGCTGTATCATCATGCTAATTCAGATGGATTTTGAACAGATCCAGCAAATTCAAGGCTGGGCATCCATGAGGTGCAGTGAGCCATCAGAAGCAGCTAAATTGTACTCCAACACAGTTTGAAACCTTATGATAAATAAAACTAAAAACTATGGATGCTGAAGGTCTGAAACAAAAACATAAATTGCTGTGAAACTGAGCAGGTCTGGCAGCATCTGTGGGAAAAAAAGCAGAGCTAACATTTTGAGTTTGATGACTCTTCATCAGAATCATTAACTCAAAGCGATAACTCTGCTTTCTTCCTATAGATGCTGCCAGACCTGCTGAGTTTCACCAACAATTTCTGTTTTTGTGTCTGAAATCCTATGACCAATCTAACCCTTAATCTACCATTACCACCAAAACAGGGGATCAGCCTTGTTCAATGAAAAGGCCATGCCAGGAGCGGTACCTAGAAAACCTAAAAATCAGGTGTCAACCTGGTGAAGCTGCACAATCAGTTACGTGATTCCACAACCAATGGATCAAATCTAAGCTCTGCAGTCCTGTCATATCCTGTCAATGGTGATGCACAATTAAAACAAGTCACTGGGGTAAAAGTCTCCACAAATAGCCCTAGCGTCAATGATGGGGAGCTCAGCACATTCGTCCAAAAGATAAATCTGAAGCATTTGCAACAACCTTCATCCATCTCAGTCTCCTCTGATTGTCGTCACCATCACAAGTGCCAGTCTTCAACCAATTTGATTCACTCCATGTGATATCAAGAAATGGTTGGAGGTATTAGATATTGCAAAGGCTATGTGCTCTGACAGCATTCCAGCAATAGTACTGAGGATGGGTACTCAAGAACTTACTGCAACCCTTACCAAGCTGTTTTAGTATGGCTGTAACACTGACATCTGCCTTGCATGAAGGCTGGGGTCTGAAAAGTGTGATTTACTGGTGGTGAAGCAGAGGAGTGGAGACAGGGCCTTAGAGAAGTGAAGTGGGAAGGGTGTGGCTCCTGGTTATGGGGGAGTAGAGTGGTGGGAAGGGAGGTGGTGAAAGGAAGAGTCAGTCAAAGTAACAAAATGAGAATCCTACAGGGTCCTGTTGATACTGTTCACCTCAGGTTATTAACTACCAGAGTCCCTACAAGACTTTAAACTATTGTACAACATTTTAATTCACACAAAGACAGCGACGTTACAATCTCCTTTATAATGCATGGAAAAGGGGGCTCGCTGAGCCTACAAATTAAACTGTGCCCTGCAGTGTGGATACCAACATGAACATTCAATGAAGAATGAATGTAAAAGTATATAATCTCTTCCACAGTCAAGGTATGTCCCTCATTCCCCAGTGACCATGAATGTGCGCCAATGATAAGATGAACCAGCACATTTAATTCTGCAAGTTAGTCTCAACAAATAAAAATGAATACGTCAAATTTAAACCAACGCAATGTGGAATATTTACAAATGAAATTTAAAAGATGCATACCACCTTTGTGCTCTGATTAAGTCTTATGTCATTGACAATGGACAGGAAAGCCGTTGGCACAATGAAGACCTCATTGTTTGTCTGCGAGTCTCGTTTATGCAACCATTCCCCCAAATCCCACTTCTCCCAACCGGCTGCACTGTCAGTTAACAGCAGGGTTTCACATATGGAAAACTTCCACTGCCTTGTTATCACACAACCTCTCATGCACGTCACAGGGTGGACAGGTCAATTACTAGGGGACGCAGGTTCAAGGTGCAGAGAAGGAAGTTTTAAAGAGATGTGCAATGCAGGTTTTTCACTCAAAGGGTGGTGAGTACTTGGAATGCGCTGCCAGCGGGGGTGCTGGAAGCAGACATAATAGCAGCATTCCAGAAACACCTGGGTGAATACATGAAAAGGAAAGGAATAGAGAGATAAAGATCCTGTAAGTGGACCCTCTAAGTGAAGACAGCTTTAGTATGGAAGTGCAAAATGTGTCAGTGTAGGCTTGGAGATTTGAAGGGCCTGGCCCTCTGCTGTATTGTTCTTTGTTCTTTGTCACTGGTATTTCCACGTTTATTGGATCTGCATATGAAATCGCACAAAACAAGACAATAAAAGTCGAGTCCATCTCTGCTGCAGAAACGTGTACCATGGCTAAAAATTCTGCCCATGGTCTCCACAAATATGTGGATTAAGTAGTCATGCTCTAACATAATTTCAAAGATAACATTTCAGGATACATCAGTTTGTTATCTCTCTCAAATTCTCCAAGATAATGTATCTAAACAGTATTGAGCTTAATAACTGATACAGGTGTACCATATGTAAATCCTTCTGAGCATAACAAACCAAGTGAATGTTCATTACATATAATAGGCTGATGAATTGATATGTAACTATCTGTAATTTAGCATGTGTGGTCAACAAACATTCTGCATTCTTCCTACTAGTGCCCCATCCACAGGATACAAAGCCTTTTGAAAACACAATGGTCCAGAATTTGTCAAATTGTTTTGCTAGTGCTTACCAATTTGAATTACCATTTAATCAAGTTCAGACTGGCACCTCACAGCTTATAGATCACTTTAATGATAAGATTTTTATTTTTGCTATGCTACAGTTCATTATTTGTTGTTAAAGATTTTTAAATTGTAAATTACATTTGTTAGTTTTCCTTTCAAATTCTTTTTACGTCTTCTCTTAATCAAATATTCCCGCCTTCTGTATCTAAGTTGACTCTACTTCACCTTCTTTCTCCGTCATCACCCCAATTCTCAAATCTAAAATTTTATTTGTTCAGGAGATAGACTATTTGTCCCATCTTTCACAAAGTGCTGACTCTTACATATTTTGGCAAAGTGTAATTTCTGCTAAGTTTCATGGAGAGTTTCCCTGCATGACGACTAGCGAGTGTGCTCCTAATACATTGTAGCACCGCTTTCGCCCCATACCGGCCTGATTTCCCCACTTTGAGGAAGCACTCACCACTATCTGGACATCCTGGGATTCCTGGCTCTGGCACCATCTTTAAAAGGCCATTTTACCCCCAGTCAAACACTGCCAATCTGGAACTGCCCTGCTTGGCTTAGTTTGTTTGTCCTGGGCATTAGCAGAGAAGAAGAAATTGACACCCGACTTTGTGGACAGGGACTGGAAGGTTTTGGTGGATGGTGTGTCCTCTTCGCCCAGGATGGACACGGCCCCAGTCTGGTCCGACATTGCCACCCTGGTCAGTGCAGTCTCAGCCATCTGTGGAATACCCAGCAATGTAGGAAGAGGGTCAGTGTCCTACTCCGCTATGCCAAGAGCACCACCATCTACTCTCTGCTACTTCGTAACCACTCTATCGCTGCTACTGCACCCAGTTGCCACTGGGGCTCATGCTCACCGCTGTCATTGTTGCATGTAACATTTACTCTCACCCACCCAGCACACATACCTCCTCCCACACCCACAGACCCTGCCACACCACTAACTGCGTGCCATCTGTGCTGCCTACTCACTTGCTCAGGAGACCTCACTACCCTCCCCCCATCGTCACCAGCAATAACAGCTGCACCATTCACATTTATCTCACTTAATACCTTTATTTCTCCTTTTCTAGGAGGAAATCAACCCCTCATGATGTCAGGAAAAGCCGAGATGGGTGATGGGCTGCTGACCTTCAACTTCTCATCCCCGACAATGAAGCGACGAGACACTCCAAGTGGCTGACTTACCGTATCAAAGCCTCTAGACTGGTATTATAGGCCCCTTTACTTACTGTATGGGGACGCCCTGACTGAAGCTGTCTCCCTTGACTTGACTGAGGACCAGTGCTCTTAGGCTTTGAGGCGTGGCCATTTGGTTGATGAGCATACAATGTGTTTACTGCTGAAGCTGCTGGTACAGGCTGGAGGTGTTAGATTGCTGTTGCTAGGTGCTGTATAGCAATATGTGCACCTCTTTGATTGAGGACTGCTGATGACAATAGCAAGTTTCTATCTGTGCCAAAAGGCATGTCAATACAGCAGTAATGTGAGCTCACAAATAAAAACCAAGGCAAGGCAGGAATACTGTGAGCATCAACATCAGTGCAAAGTAAGTGAGTGGGAAGACAGCAAGTGACAAGCCCTGGTCAGTCTGTGAGCTGGGCACCTGTCCATGTGTGCAAAGTGTCCTTGCAACACTGAAGCGCAGAAACGTACTACATAATGTGCGATGATGGTGTGAAATTGATGTCTGTATGATGCCAAGGTCTGTGGATGTGTGGTCCATGCAGCCTCTGCTGTAAGATGTTGGTGCCAGGTGACCAAGACGGAGGTCTGGAGGAGCAGGTAGCAAGTTGGAGTCATCAGATACCCACTCAGACTTCCTTTTCGGGAATTCCCAGTGTCCGAGTTTCTATCCGGCAGGGTTCAGAATGGAAACCAGCACAATGATGAGATGAGATGAAATAATAATGAGGGTGATAGTGAGCGATAATGCCCATTAATTGACAACTTGCTGCTCCCTAGCAAGAAACCCATCTTGACATCCAGGACTTAGGTGGAAAATGTGACTTGTTTCCCCTGACGTCAAGAAAAACCTCGCTGGAATTCACATGTGATTGTCTCAGATTTCTCGCCATTACCCACAACATTCAGGGTCTGAAGATCCTAAATGCCTCTTTGCCCACACTTACAGAATTTACAGGGTGAATTTGCTTGTGAAAGTGATTGTGGATAATGACTAACTAATGGCATATATTGTGCAATAGTCCACTCCAGGAAATTCTGACCCACTTAGTTTCATTTCAATATGCAAATATTTTAATTCTTCCATTTCTTTCATCAGTTTACAAGAGAATGTGAGCACGAGGAGCTGTTATAAAGCTATATACTCAGTCCATCAAATATAACTGCCAACACCCATCAGTGAAGACAAGAATTGATCAAAATTGCTCCTATTGAGTAAATCCAGTGAAAATCTAAATGTTTTACCTGTGTTAACTGAACAACGGACAATCGGAAAGATCTGAAGCCTTTGTGTCAAATGTGAGTATAAACTACTGGCCTCTTTAAGAATTTGATTGTACGATTCCATCTATGTAATGCTTCTTAGGAATTAATGCAGAAACAGCAAGAAGGCTTTCTTAAGAGCAGTTCTTACAGTTTTTCAGAAAAAAAGCTCAATTATTTAGCTACAGCACATCAATAAATCCTTAGGTATTGTCTTCAGGGACCCCAGATTGAATTTCCCTGAGCTCTCTTAAGCAGCTGCCTGTCATTGAACATACTGGGCGGTGCATTGTCACTTGTAAAATGGATGTAAATTCTGTTTTTAAATGGTTCTTCTCATCTAACATCTGAGTTTATGGAGTTTGTGAGGTTGCTTGAAATGTCCTTGGCAAGTAGGATTAAGGAGAGTCCCAGAGGCAGTTTATATTTGTATTAAGAGGAAGGGGGTAGCTCGGGAAAGGATGAGTCCAGTTCAGGACAAAGGACAGTATGCATGGAGTAGGTGAGATCCTTAATGAGAACTTTGATGCATAAATTTTAGCAAAGCTTTTGATCAAGCCCTACATGGCAAACTGGTCGAAAAAATTAAATCTCATGGAATCCAAGGGCAAGTTGGATCCAAATTGGCTCAACATCAGAAAACAAAGGGTTATGATTGTTAGGGTTATAATTTTGTGGTTGGAAGACTGTTCTTAGTGGGGACGCACAGGCTCAGTGACATGTTCCTTTGCTGTTCCTGGTTTATATGAATGATTTAGAGTTAAAGTGGACGAGGGATATAGGCCAGGGGCAAGCAGGTGGGACTAGTTTAGTTTGGGCTCATGTTCAGCATGGACCAGTTGGACCGAAGGGTCTGTTTCTGTGCTGTATGACTCTATGGCATGATGAAAAACATTGCAAATTATATGAAAATTTTCCAAACAGTTGTTAGTGAGGGAGAATACAGGAAGGTAACAAAGGTCTGGTGTGGTGGAAAGAGAACGGTATACATAACTCAATCCAGAGAAGTATGAAGAAATTTGTTTAGGAAGGATAAACAAGGAGATAAACGGCAGAATTCTGAGAAGTACAGGGGGATCCTGAAGTGCTTGTCTATTGACCACTGAAAGTAGAGGGGTTGCTGGACCAGTGTTCAATTCGGCACATGGAATATATTTCTTTGTTGAAAAGAGATATATTTTGTTAAAACCTTTCATCTTACATTGGTCAAGGCAATTTGCAATACCAAAGTAAAGAGAATACAACATTTATATGGTCTGAAATGATAATGGCAATTAGTTGGCAAGTGGCACTGATTTTTTAGAGATATTGCCATTGTTATTGCATCAGTTGATGTCAACTGACAGCTAACTACCAAGCTTTGTTTAAATTTAAAATTAGGCAGGTTGATCTAAACCGCTTAAGGAACTGCTCTGTGAATTGAACCAGAAAATGGCTGTCATCCAATTTGTTGAGTTTTTTTTTAAATTTATTCATTTGTGGGATGTGGGTATTGCTGGCTAGGCCAGCATTTATTGCCTATCCCTAGTTGCCCTTGAGAAGGTGGTGGTGAGCTGCCTTCTTGAACTGCTGCAGCCTACCAGCTTTGAGTTGACCCACAATGCCATTAGGGAGGGAATTCCAGGATTTTGACCCAGCGACAGTGAAGGAGTGGCAATATAATTCCAAATCAGGATGGTGAGTGGCTTGGAGGGGAACTTGGAGGTGATGGTGTTCCCATATGTCTGCTGCCCTTGTCCTTCTAGATGGAAGTGGTTGTGGGTTTGGAAGGTGCTCTCTGAGGATCTTTGGTGAATTTCTGCAGTGCATCTTGTCGTTAGTACACACTGCTGCTACTGAGCGTCGGTGGTGGAGGGAGTGGATGCTTGTGGATGTGGTGCCAATCAAAGCGGGCTGCTGTGTCCTGGATGAGGTCAAGCTTCTTGAATGTTATTGGGGCTGCACTCATCCAGGCAAGTGGGTAGTATTCCATTACAATCCTGACTTGTGCCTTGTAGATGGTGGACAGGCTTTGGGGAGTCAGGAGGTGTGTTACTTGCTGTAGTATTCCTAGCTTCTGACCTGCTTTTGCAGCCACTGTGTTTATCTGGTGTGTCCAGTTCAGTTTCTGCTTAATGATGATCTCCAGGATGTTGACGGTGAGGAATTCAGTGATGGTAACACCATTGAATGCCAAGGCAGTGGTTAAATTGTCTCTTATTGGTGATGGTCAAAGCTTGGCATTTGTGTGGCAAGCCTGGATATTGTCTAGATCTTGTTGCATTTGAACATGATCTACTTCAGTATCTGAGGAGTCATGAATTTTGCTGAACATTGTACAATCATCGGCGAACATCCCCACTTCTGACCTTATGATGGAAGAAAGGTCATTGATGAAGCAGCTGAAGATAGTTGGGCCTAGGACACTACCCTCAGAAACTCCTGCAGTGAAGTATTAGAGCTGAGATGACTAACCTCCAACAACCACGACCATCTTCCTTTCTGTCAGATATGACACTAACCAATGGAGAGTTTGCCTCCAGATTCCCATTGATTTTAGTTTTGCCAGAGCTTTTTGATGCCACACTTGGTCAAATGCAGCCTTGATATCAAGGGCTGTCACTCTCACCTCACCTCTGGAGTTTAGCTTTTTTGTCTGTGTTTGAACCAAGGCTGTAATGAGGTCAGGAGCTGAGTGGTCCTGAGGGAACCCAAATTGGGCATCACTGAGCAGGTTATTGCTGAGCAGGTGCTGCTTGATAGCATTGTTGATGACACGTTCCATCAATTTACTGGTGATCAAGAGTAGACTGATGGGGCAGTAATTGGCCAGGTTGGATTTTTCCACCTTTTTATATACAGGACATACTTGGGCAACTTTTCACAATTTCAGGTAGATACCAGTGATGTAACTGTATTAGAACAGCTTGGATAGGGCAGCGACAAGTTCTGGAGCACAAGACTTCAGTACTATTGCTGGAATATTGTCAGGGCCCATAGCCTTCACAATATCCAGTGTCTCCAACTGTTTCTTGATATCACATGGACTGAATCAAATTAGCTGTAATGCTGGAGGACCACTGGAGGAGGCTGAGATGGATCATCCACTCGGCTCTTCTGGCTAAAGATTGTTGTGAAAGCTTAAGCCTTATCTTTTGTTCTGATGTGCTGGGATCTTCCATGATTGAGTATGGGGATATCTGTGGAGCCTCCGTGTGAAGTTGCAACAGTTATACAGAGTGTACATGTTATTTTAATCTGCACTAAAACAGGATCTGTATATTAATATATGTAGCTTCCATTACACACAGGTGCTCCACACTGAGAACCTGACTGACAATCCTAAATTAGTCGTCACCATTATTTTTAGCACAGGATTATTTAGCAAATCGTATCCAATCACGGCATTAGATCTAATGTTGGACATGAAGAAACATGGTATTGATATGATCTGCCAGTGTTTGGAATGTATAGCCTATATACCTAGCATCACACAGGCACTAAAATTCATATACCACATTATTCATTTTCTCAATAAGGTGACTGTTTCTTTGGCTTGACAGAGGCATCCTGTTAATGGTGAACACCATAGTAGCAACATGAATTAGCTAGCTTCACCTGTTACTGAAACTTTTGAGATATTTTACCCTTTCAGGGTAATCTGAGGCAGATTACTGTGGGCAAGTTTCAGGATCAAATGTGATAGTCTTAGGCTTGTTCATGAATATACGATTTACAGGGAGAAAAAGTCTAATAGCCATTACCCTGCAGGATGGCTTTGATGTTTTCTATTTCAGCATCAAACTTGCACAGTGAACAAATGGTTCAGGCCCTGTGTCCAAGGTTGCTGATAAAGACATTTTTAACATAGAACATAGAACAATGCAACACAGGAATGGGCCCTTCAGCCCACAATGTTGTGTCGAACATGACGCCAAATGAAACTTATCCCTTCTGCCCGCCCTTGGTCCATATCCCTCCTTTCACATTCATGTGCTTACCTAAAAGCCCCTGAAACGGCCCTATCGTATCTGCTTCCATCATCATTCCTGGCAGCGTGTTCTAGCCTCCTACCATTCTCTGTGTAAAAAACCTGTCCCTCACATCTCCTTTGAACCTTCCCCCTCTCACCTTAAATGCATGCCCCCTTGTTTTAGACATTTCAACTCTGGGAGAAAGATTCTGACAGTCGAGCCTATCTACACATCTCATAATTTTGTAGACTTCAATCAAGTCTCCTCTCAGCCTCTGCCACTCCAGAGAAATCAACCCAAACTTTTCTAGCCTCTCCTTATAGCTCATACCTTCGAATCCAGGCAACATGTTGATAAACCTCGCCTGCACCCTCTCCAAGGCCTCCACATCCTTCCTGGAATGTGATGACCAGAACTGAACACAATACTCTAAGTGTGGCCTAACCAAAGTCTGATAAAGCTGCAACATGACATCCTGACTCTTGGACTCAGTTCTGCGACCAGTAAAGGCGAGCATGCCATATGCCTTCTTCATCACCCTATGTCCTTGTGTGGCCACTTTCAGGGAGCTATGGACTTGAATCCTAAGATCCCTCTGTACATCAGTGCTGTTCAGTGTCCTGCCATTTTCCTTAATATTTGATCTCCCAAAGTGCAACACCTCGCACTTACCCGTATTAAACTCCACCTCCATTTCTCTGCCCATATCTATAACTAATCTATATCCTGCTGTATGCTTTGACAACTTTCTACACTACCCACAAATCTACCAATCTTCATATCATCTGCAAACTTACTAACCCACCCACCTACATTTTCATCCAAGTCATTTAAATATATCAGAAACAACAGATGTCCCAGTACAGATCCCTGAGGAACACCACTCGTCATGGACCTCCAGCCAGAAAAACACCCTTCCACTACCATCCTCTGCCTTCTATGGACAAGCCAATTCTGAATCCACACAGTCAAGTCACCGTGGACAGTGCAGGGAGCTGTAGGGGAACACCAAGATATGTAATAAATTGTGAAGGTAGGTTTGAAGACAGAAAGTTAATGCGCATACACTGTTTCAACTTAACAAGACAGTGTTTCTCTAATTAATTTCTCAGTCAAATTTTCCTGCATCTTTTCCTGCTCTGACTTGGACTTGTTATGCAAAGTGTTTATTATATTTTGGGGATTACTGTTGATTGGAACCTTGACCTAACCAGTTACATTGGCATAACGGCTATAATAGCAGTACAGAAGCAGTGTGATCTGTGATAAATAGCTCACCTCCTTTCTTGGCTCAAGTGACAATTAAGTCCACTGGAATACCTACCAATCGTATGGATGAGTGAAGCTGCAATAGCAATTGAGAACTTTGACAATATCCATACGGAGCAGATGACGGCACCTCAGCATTGTGGTTGTAGTGTGTACGGCCTCTATATGATTCCCTTCAGCATGTTGACAAGTGGCATCCCCTCCCCCATAACCTGGGAAGAACAAATGCAGATGTGTGGTTGAAATGCCATCAACCCCAAGTCACACGCCATTGGGCATAGTTTGTCATTATTGGGGAATATTCTAGAATCCCCATCTGGGAGAAGCACCACCAGACGGAAATACAGTTGTTCCATGAGAAGGCTGCCATTTCAGGATAACTAAGAAGTTAGTGTTGCCAGCACTGAGAAAAATAAAATCCGTCAATAAATACAAGACATAGGAAGGAAATTAATAAGGACAGGAATCGGATGTGTCACTTTTCTGTCATTATTGACTCTCCCACAAAGCAATGAGTAAGGGCAACTGTTTCAAGATCGCCACAAGTTTTGTCAACTTCTGCAAAAACATCTATAATTCAACAGGACAAGCAAGTTCAGCTTCAGCTTCAATGTTTCTGCCTTTGCCTCTTCCAGTTTTAACATAGGAATGACCTACAATGTGTTGCACACATGTTAATGTAACCAATGCCTAATCAATCAGCATTGTCGGAAATATTTACCAGGATGTTGCCTGGTATGGAGGGAAGGTCTTATGAGGAAAGGCTGAGGGTTTTGAGGCTGTTTTCGTTAGAGAGAAGAAGGTGAAGAGGTGACTTGATAGAGACATACAAGATGATCAGAGGATTAGATAGGGTGGACCGTGGGAGCCTTTTTCCTCGGATGGTGATGGCTAGCACGAGGGGACATAGCTTTAAATTGAGGGGTGATAGATATAGGACAGATGTCAGAGGTAGGTTCTTTACTCAGAGAGTAGTAAGGGCGTGGAATGCCCTGCCTGCAAAAATAGTAGACTCGCCCACTTTAAGGGCATTTAAATGGTCATTGGATAAACATATGGATGATAATGGAATAGTTTAGGTTAGATGGGCTTCAGATTGGTTTCACAGGTCGGCGCAACATCGAGGGCCGAAGGGCCTGTACTGCGCTGTAATGTTCTATGTTCTATGTTCTATGTTCTATATTGCCACTTTTTCCACTGAGCAAGAACCGGAGCAGATTATGACTGTCATTGGCAGCACATTACTCTCGCCTCTAACTCCCACCTCCTGCATGCAACACGTCCACATAATGTTCACTTCCTCTGTGGAGGTGTACATTGCCTGCTTTCAGCATAGGTAATGAAGCAGACATGTTCTAATGTTATCCTCAGGGTAGGGAGCTCCAGATGACTGCACATGGTAACCCCTCTTTATGCCTATTTCTTACAGGAGCACATCAGCATCAATGCCACGGAAAGCAGATTTCATGTACCACCCCTGCACTTGCTCACAAATCCCATTTCAAGTCTCTCCATCCGTTTGCCATCCATGTTATTTTTGTAGCGCTTTTGTTTTCTGTCCTAAACGTCTGATGGAAAAATTGAAAAGCTTGGCCCGACTCACCTCCACATGGTTGCATCGTGTTAAAGGACTTTCCTTCCAGTCACCTTTGATGTGTCCTAGAATATTTGATTTTTTGTCCTTTTGGGGCTGATCCAGTTAGAAGCTTATCATGCATAACAAATAAGAACTGAATCCAGTTATGTCAACCCTTCTTGACACACGCAAGCTGTCTGAACATTACATTTGTCACCAGCAAGATTACTCCTGCTCCAGTTGCTTCATTTCAGGCCCTGTGTACCTCCCAGGTATAATGTCACCAAGCTATTGCACTTTCTGGCCCAGTGTTTCACTTCTGTCCAACTGCTCGTTGCTTCATTGACTCAGACAATTTGGGACAATAGCTAGTGTAAAATAAGACAATAGTCTTGTCACCCAACTTTTACAGTAACATCCTCCAACACGCAGCTAGATCTACTTCATTAACCCAGATCTAGATAATTGTTTTTACTGTTTCTCTTTATTTCAGATAAAGAGCAAAACCATGGCAAAGATGTTCTTTGTGACAGTGGTTTACTGCCTTTTGCTGCCCCTTTCCCAGTCAAAGGTTGAGGAGAGTCAGTATTGCTCAACACAAGAGTCAAGTGTAAGTCATCACTTTTTTTAATATATGTCTTCCAGATGTTAACATGGTTCTAATACACATGATATTATGGCCTGTACATTATTACCCTCAGTCAAACATCACCTTCCAAATGGTGTTCCAAAAAGTAACAGAAGAGAAATGGGCTAGAGACCTGGGTTCCATCCTCTGCTCCCATTCACACATGGTGAGCTCGATTGGGAAGGTGAATTGAGCCCACATTCTGATGAACATAAATTGTTTACATATAGATGCACGGATATTTCATTTAATCGTATCTTCCACACCATTATAGACAGCTTTTCTTTTTAACACGAAGCCCCCTTTCCCCAAAGGCTCATCAACATCAGTGGAAGAAAGATAGCAAAATAATTATCCGGATTTTCCAATGGCCAGACAGTTTTTTCTCTGCAGCATAGGCTGGAGTTGTGCATTGGGACCCGGTGGAATCCCTGATGTAGCAGACTCCAAGGGAATTCTTCAGGAAATTGCAGATTCCAATGGGCCACTCCCCTGCACCTTGAACTGTCTGAAAGTATCTTTTCAAATTGGAGACTCTGGAGGTTCCACTGCAGTTAAGTAAATAGTTACGCAGGAAAATTAAACACTTGGTCTAACTTCGAGGTAACTTTCCCTTGACTGACCTATCTCCTCCCTAACTCCCCACCTACACTCACCTTTACTGGCTCTAACCTTGCCTCTTTGACCTGTCTGTCTCCTCTCCACCTATCTTCTCCTTTATCCATCTTCCATCATCGCCTCCTCTTCTCTCCCTATTTATTTCAGAACCCCCTTCCCCTCCCCCATTTCTGAAGAAGGGTCCAGACCCGAAACGTCAGCCTTCCTGCTCCTCTGATGCTTCTTGGCCTGCTGTGTTCATCCAGCTCTACACCTTGTTATCTAACTTTTAAAATGACTCTTCCCCACTCCCCCTCCCCGCTTACCACAGGGACGCCTAACTATACATTTCCCAAACCCCTTAGACCACCCCCATACCCCGACACTTACCCAAAACAGCTCCTTGCTCAGGACCCAAAAACACATCTCTCCACACAATCTGAAGAGGTCCCGACCTGAAACATCAGCTTTCCTGCTCCTCTGATGCTGCCTGGCCTGCTCACTTCTTCCAGCTCCACATTGTGTTATCTCAGACTCCAGCATCGGCAGTTCTTACTATCTCCATACAATCTGGAAGTTGTCCCTCCGCACAGATGAATACTTCATGGTTGTTCATGGCACACCTCTATAACTCCTCAACCCAGTTTCTGACAAACCCCTCTCACCACAGGACCTGATGTGAACACCCCACAGCATCCCTCCCCCATCCTGCCTGGGTAATGATATCTACCCTGTTCCTCTCCCTCCTTTCCCCTCAAAAGCCAGCAACTCCAAATGTTACCAGGACTAGAGGGTTTGAGTTATAAGGAGAAGCTGGATAGTCTGAGGTTTTTTTCACTGGAGCGTAGGTGGTTGACAGGGTGCCTTATAGAGGTTTATAAAATCATGACAGGCATAGATAAGGTGAATAGCTAATGTCTTTTCCATAGGGAAGGGGAGTTCAAAACTAGTGGGTATATTTTTATGGTGAGAAGAGGAAGATTTAAAAGGCACCCGAGGGGCAATTTTTTCACACAAAGGGTGGCCCTTATGTGGGATGAACTGCCAGAGGAAGTGGTAGATGCAGGTACAGTTACAACATTTAAAAGACATTTGGAGAGGTACATGAATGGGAAAGTTTTAGAGGGATACGGGCCAAATGCTGGCAAGCAGGACTAGTTTGGCAACTTGGTCGGCATGGATGAGTTGGACCAAAGGATCTGTTTCTATGTTGTATAACTCTATGATTCTATAACTCGCTCCCGTGCCACTGGATCCAAACCCCCCAACCTCCTTCACCCCAGGACCAACACCCTCTTCCTCCCCGGACCTAACAACCCCTTTTCCACCAAGAACGTACCACACCCTCTTCCTGTCTCTCTACAACTGCACTTAGACCTCACAAACACTGCCCCCTTTTGCCAGGTATGATACCATCCCCTCCTGTTGCCCACCCTGGCCTAACTTACCTAAACTCCTTACTAGCTTGCATCCTGACACCCTATCATCTACTATCCCACTGACTTATCACCCTACATGCCTGGCACCCTGACACCTGGCAACTTGGCACCCTAACACTATACCCACCTAGCAACCTAACCACATAGCACCCTTACCCACATGGCAGGCTACTAGCTGGCATCCAAAGTGCATACTTACCTTACATACATATCCTTTCCCGGAACGTTTAAATCATAGAATATCACAACTACTGCCAAAAAAGAAAGGGGCATAGTATGACTCCTCTGACCATCTGACACAACGTTAGATTTAAGGTGCGCTCCATGTTACTAAAGGAGCCAAGATCAGAAGTTCCTGCCAGAATTGCAGAGCTCTGCCTTCTTGGAAAACTTGGAGCACAGTGCTAATCTGATTGTGTTTGCTGCTCATTGGAAAAACTACCCAGGGTTATTCTCTTTTATTAACATGCTTCTAATTCAACAGAAGCTCCTTTACCATAATGGCCCCCTTTGTCTTTAGCTTTCCTTAAAAAACTTCGGTAAAATACAACTTCCTTCAGGTGCCACTGAGTTTCAAGAAACTTAAAGTTCAGACACGAATAGTTTCATACATGGAGCTACAGCACAGATATAATTGAATAATCAATCTTAAATCATTATTTGTCTATCTTGCAGGCCTCCATTTATTCACCTGTGAGTTCAATAAATGGTAAGAAATAAAACACAGTACTAATTTCATGATGCCTAGTGACTAAGTCTTTTTTTGGTTAATTTCCATTGCCAGCTAATAATCTACAAAAAGTGCAGTATTGGATGAAGCAAAAGGATTTGTCTCAATAAATGTAGTAAAAATTCCAAACAAGCGTATTTTTCTTCTGTTTACATGCTCCATGTTTCATATAAATAAATGATAAAATAAATGCATCAAAGACGTTTTCAAATTAGTAATTCCAATAAGAAAGAATTTGAATTTCCAAACAGTGAAGTTGCTTTATGAATAGGAGATAGTAGGAACTGCAGATGCTGGAGAATCCGAGACAACAAGGTGCAGGGCTGGATGAACACAGCAGGCCAAGCAGCATCA